TTGCAACTCCCCATTGTTAGTCTGCCTATTCAGATACAACTTCTCCACCTCACAAACTCCCAAACTTTGCGACCCTGATCTCGTTACACAGGTCATGCTTAGAAAAACTGAAATAAAAAAGCCCACAGCTTTGCATCTGTACCCGTCCCTGCAACAGCTCTCCTACTTACGACCAGCATTCCTTTAAAAGGGACACGAAGTCTCTTAGTGTTCTCTTTTTGTTTACAGCTTCAATTCCTACATCTAGGCTCGGGCTCCTTCTTATTTTGGCTCGGGACAAAGTCCAGTTACTTTGGTGTTTCATGCTGCAACTTTCTTTTCAAAGACCAATAACAACGAAAAATATCTTTCTGCCTCAAGAGTGCCCCCTTTCCGTCTCCCCATCCCAAATCTCAGGTTACAGTTTGGGCTTTGCCCTGGCACGCTCCTTCCAATACTCTTTCATCAGCCATATCAGCCAACCCCAAATCACCTCCTATCACCCCCTGGGGCCCTGCAGTCTCCCACCCCAGCTCCTGCAGCGCCTGCACAGCTGCACCATCTGCAGCCCCCTGCATGATTCATCACCCACCACAACAGACCGGGATTATTCACTGTTTGAAAAGCTACAGAGCAATTTACATCTGTTTCTGGAAGAGATTCAAGAAGCCTGAATTCGCCTTCTTAGCAGAGAACACCACCACTGTGTATTTTCAGTGGTTTTATTTCACTGATAAACTCTATTCCCTTGCCCAGACATAGTAACATGACTGATTTGATAAACTTAATTCAGCTTAACAGAAGAATTTATATCCTATCAAAAAGAATGATCCTCAGACAAGGTATAACAGATTTAGGCCCCTTCTGCTTGCAAGTGTACTTTTGCAAACTGAGTCATTCCAATGGGCTAGCTTTCACACTCTTCTACTAGCACAAAAAAATCTAATGTCTTCTACAAACAGCACCTGGAGTTGTGTAGTTTACTTATTCTTCATTGTGCTACTATTTCACTCATTCCTTCGAAGTATTTTACAGGCTCTTGTTGCTCAGTTATTACACTTAAATAAATACACAAATAAAACCTGCTAAAAATAATCTAACTTCAATTTAATGCCATGTCACAACTCAGAGTACCCAAAGTGGAATGAGAAACAAAATTCTTTCACTTTTTGTTTTGTTTGTTTGTTTGGGTTTTGTTCTGGATTTTTTTTGTTATGACAAAGGCCTTCAGTTTTAGTCTGATAACCTAGACATCCCTACCTTAAAAAGTTTTTCTTTGCAACAAATGTATCACACAAAAACAAAGTTTACAATGAATTAGCATTGCTGACAAGAGCCTTGGCAACTGGCATGAATGCAATTAATCTACATTTTTTGGCAAATGGACATCAAGTACTTGTACTTGCAAGCTCCTGACACGACAGATAGAGGATATTCTTGGGACACATGACTTCACAGCTCTAAATCAGGTCACTCACTACAGCATGGAGATCACAAGCCCCACACTCCTGCGAGATCCAAAAGTGTTAAAACATAAACGATTATTTTCCTGCCATTATTTTCCCGGCTCATCCTTCCCATGACAAGAAGGGTGTCTGGTCACCAGTTTAACGGCAATACCAGCATTGCCACCCCACTCCTTTTAACTGAGGAAGCATCTGAATTGCAGAAAGGTGGAACTAAAACATGAATCCAGGGAAACAGCCAGGATAAGAAAGCCTGTTTAAAAAGCAATATATGTACTTTCATATTCCAGTTTTACTTCACTTTCTAAGGCATTTCAGCCGGCTTGAACCAGACTTTGAAAGAGCAGTTATGGGGACACAGCATTTCTCTGCAGAGCCAAACTGAGTCACTGATTGCAAAATAATGTTACCTAAAGGGTACTTAGACAAGCTTAAGTAACATAAGAGCTCCCTCAAATCACAAGGACATCCCTTCCACAGGTCCCCGCACCTTCCCTCTCGCTCCTCCCTTCCCAGCCACGCCACCCCCGTGCCTGCGCTGGCTCCCGCCCTTGGCCACCCTGCACTAGTACGGGAGCCCAGAGCGGGGCCAAGCCGAGTGTCGGCGTCCCCCGGGACACCACCCTGGGCACACCGGCCTGGCCCGCTCCCAGGAAAAGCCCAGGCCAGGAGCACAGCGCTGTGCCCGGGAGCCAGGGGCAGCCTGGGGAGGAGCACGGCTGTGTCCAGCCCCCGAGAACAGGCCCTGGCACGGGTTATTCCCCGGGCAGACACGGCCTCGGTGAAACCATCCCGTTCGCTGAGTAACACGGGAAAACCAGCCAGAGATGGCTGGACAGACCCCCCGAGGGGCTGCAAAAGGGGGGACAGAAACACACGGGTGGTAGATGGAAAGAAGGGGCCTAGACCAGATCTATCACGCTCTGTAACCACATTTCTTGCTGTAGTCTATATCTGCAGGGCTATCAGGAACAACAGAGAGAAGACATCCTATTTTCTGTCCTTTTTGCATTTATGTGCTCATTCATACACACACACACCCCTGCCATGTAAAAGAGAAATCGAATGAATGAAAGCTGCAAACTGAACAATTTGTATTCTTAAAGGCTAATCACTTCTACATTTCCACAGGATTTATTACAGGATTTATAATCTTGAGAAAATGCAACTCCTTGCAAATTCAGCTGGAATTATGGCAGCTCAGTATGCTGAGAATCAGGTGCCCAAAATGTACATTTAAGTTGAACATTTGACAGTGTTTTGAAAACATGGGCATGTTTATGTGCAGTTATGTCTGTGTGGCAGCACAGAACACAACAGGTACAGCTGCTGCTTTTTTCAAAGGCAGTATCCTGTGCTGCTTGTCTCTTACTTACAAGGTACCAAGGCTGCTGCCTGATTTGATCAGTCTGGCCTGCTTAATTGCACACAGCAGTCTTTTATCCTGAGGGGGGTAAGAATAAATAAATTTCACTATATATATATATATATATATATATACACACACACATATTGTAATCTTCCCCTGAAAATTGCCAACGAGGCAACAATAGTCACTATGACCTCTGGGCTGCAATTATTTTTATTTTAACATCAGAGTGAGTGCATTAATGGACATCTGTGCTGGAGCATTCCCCAGCCCTAGGCCAGAAAGCCACCAGGCACTGCCTGCTGATGAATGCAGGAAGTCTCCAAAGAAGCCTGCTGACACGAGGCCCACCTTCCCCCTCACACATGCTGCATAAAGATGGGGGGAGTTCTTTTGTTTAATGGCACCCTGCCCCACGACTCCAGTGTCAGGTACTTCATACCATTCTTGCTGAAGCAGTAACACTAACAGCAGGTTAGGACATATCATCACTAATTCAAGTCTTCACTTCCAAATAGGTGTTGCAAACAGACAGAAGTTCTTCTTACCTTCTGAACATTCACATTCAGTGGTTTGTTCTGTGATTTGTTATATCAATCATTTCCAGTAAATAATTATTTACAACAGAACAGGCATGTAGCACTTATTTGTGTAACAAAAAAAAAGAATGGCAATACAAGCCATTCTGTATGCAAATAACAGTATTCACTCAGCCTAACAGTGCTGGCTGCATGGATATATACAACAAAACAGTAATCCTGCCTCCAAACCTTAATCACAGGCTGTGAAATAGTTTCAAATGATCAATTTTTACGATCATTTTTTTTTGTTAAATATAAATAACAGTGAGTTATTATGGTACCATTTTTTAATGTAAAATACATCAAACTCTAAGCTATCCATAATGATACATTCTCTCAGCTCCAGGATATTATACACTCACAGATGAGTAAGGTGTTACTCAACCTGCACTTCATTTGCACACCAAACAGCATTTCTGGTTTCCTTCTATGTACTTACCAACAAACTGAAAGCAAACGAATGAGATACCAAAAAATGAAATATGAAAATATTGGACTAACTTGCTTTCACATGTATTTCATCTGCCTGGAAACAACTTCAGTAGCTGCTCACTCCTCTGAGTTCCTCAAGGCAGACACATTTTTGAACAAGTTTATTTTACTATTTGGAAAGATTAAGTGAGTAATTTCTCAGTTTATATATTTTTTAAAAGCCATGATAGTATATCAGCATTTCTAGAAAGGAATGGGTAATCTGCCAAATGCTGGCCACTCCTAGTGTTTCCACAGGCACAAGACAAATTGAACTTAAACCAATAAATTTAGAGGAATATCATACCAGAGAACAAACTCTGCCTCTTTGGTAATTTGCATCTTTCAATCTCCAAAGTAAAAAAAAAATTCAACCCCATGTGGATTTTAAGACACAGCAAAGACCCACACAAACTACTCACGTAACAACTCAAGCTTCAGTCAGCATTGGAATGCCAATGAGTTGTATTTTATAATTTGTATTAATCTGTGCACGAGAAGCCCTTCACTGGACACAGAAATTACACTTCCTAGATATTTAAAGACACATGCAATGCACTTATAAATAAATACTGTTTCATAAGCAGAAACTATGAGAACTGGTATGAGGAAGTGGAGTCAGACTTGGCAACATCTCAATGCCACATGCAATCTGGTCACACAACAATCTTCTCATATCAATTCAATGTTTTTAAGACATGCCAAATATCACACTCTTTCAGAGATTTTAGTTTTATTTTGATGATTTAGAGCCTAACCCTACCAGATAAGTACTTTTTAATTCAGTGAAAAAAACAGCATTCTGCTTCATAACAAGTTGTTCAATATTTAATTTGACAGTGAAATCCTGATCACTCTACTTCTAAAATATTAAGAATTCAGAATTCTAATAACTATTGCCTAAGACCATAGTAGATATCAGAACATAAGGAAGTTTTATTTCCTCTGCTCTCCTGATTGTGCTACTGCTTTCTGTTTATCAATTATTTATTGGCACTGCTTGCTCAGATTTCCTTCCTTGTCAGTTGACTATACATTAATCACTCCTGACAGCGATTCTCCCCCAAATGTTTGTTCTTCCCTAGCTGTTCAAGAACAATGCCAGGACAGACTCCAGCCCACATATGTACTCACCACTTCAGGTAGTATCTTGCAAGGCTGTAACAGAAGTTGTTTTCCAGAATCTGTTCCCTTTCCATTTCATGTGCACATTGGTGATAACAAGTGGTTCTTCATCAATAAAAAGCTGCTGACATCCTTTCTTAAAAAAAATAAAAATAAAGAGTCAACAAAATTTCCCAAAGCTTACTATTCTGATTTTATATTGAGATGATGTAATTTAAGGCTTTTCAAAAAATATTCCTTAATGCTTCTGCAGGAAAAAAAACGCTGTCATTTCACTTGGGCTAAAATTACATTTTAAATGATTGAGGCTTTTAATACATCACCAGTTTTACAGCAGGACCACACTGACATCTAGCTAACTAGGGAATATGACTAGTATATCCCAATATCATTCTGATCTTTTTTTCTTCATACTAGAAAAATTCAAAACCACTCAACTAAGAATATTATAGTGAAAGCTCTGTGCTATTTTAATTATCTGTTCTAAAGCAAAATACTTTTACTCATAAGGAGCATTCCCACAAACGTCCAAGCCTTTCAATGGACAAACTGTTATGGTTTCCAAGGGGCATAAGATGTCTTTGCAATGGGCCTTTTAAGTACCATTTACACCCCCAAAGGTACAGATTTTGCTTTTATATACTTTACAAGGTCCATTAAAAACAACAACAACAAAAACTATACATACCTCTAAAATGCAAAAAATTAAAGATTTGGGGAGATTTTGAAAGAGCAGTCAGATTAAAAGGAAGTTAAAATTCCAAAATTCTTTAGGAAAGTATGCTTGAACATATAGTAAATATTAATTCATTTATCTTCCAAAACAAGTATGGTGTCCCCTTTTTTCCCCTTGCAAAAATATGCAAGAAAAACAGAACTCAAATCTCAGTAGGAAAGTTACAATAAACTAAAGAGAAAAATAGTGCTGTTTGCAATTTTGAAGTACAAGCTGTTCTAAAAAGAAAAAATACTAAGAAAAATTCCTTTGCCCTCCTTGTCCATCTTGGGACAACAGTGAGCATTATAATCCATATTCTAGAACAAGATAAATACCTTAGGCCATATATCCTACTCTCCTGTAGGACATAATTTCCCCTAGTATTTTTATAACACTCCACATGTGAAATATTAAAAGCATAACTGGACGAAATCACAACTGAAATGTAACCCTCTCTCCCATGGTTTAAAATTCATTATAGCATTTATGAAGACTACAGGATGAACAGGAAATAAAGACCTTAAAGAACCACTGAAAAGCAAGTGACAAAACCACCAGGTGTTTGGGATGTGCAGGTTTGCAGTAGGTAGCCAGAACTCCCTGTGCACCTGACTGCAGAGGATGACAGTCAATATAAAGTAGCAAAAGATTGATAAGAATTTTTTTTGGACCACACTAAGAGTTCCTTCCAAACATGGGAAAAGGGAGGGCGCATGCTGCCTGCACAGTTCCACAAACCTCTGATAAGGTCTGCACACCCTCATCCTTCCAAAACACCACATCATGTTACTCAAAATCCCCAAATCTGCCACTAAATTAACTAGGAGCTGATGGTCCCTTGGCAGCTCACACCAGCTAACAAAGGTTATGACACTGGTTTAGCTTTGAGCAGACGTGTGACCACATCACATGAACCACAACTGCCCTTGGTTCCAGCATGAGACCAGGTAACCTCAGTGCTCAGTCAGGGATTCAGAATTCATAAAGGAAACAGTTCTTAAAGCTGATCGGCTTTGCTGCCTGCAAAGTAAATATCTAAAAGTGATCGGTGCAGGATGCCAATGAGAAAATCTGTGCATGTTCTGTAACACAAGTGCAGTTTGACCACCACTTTCCTTCACAACAAAACTTATGTGACACCCCTATTAGTGCAGTACTACTAAGACATCCAATGCCACCAAAGTGCCAGACATTATCATTCCAGATAATCGTGTCTGATGAATCCTGTACTCATACTACTTCCCTCAGCGAGCTTGGGAACAGCTACCCGTGTTACTGAGACTGTGCCAATCTTAATATAAATACAAGGCAATACGTCTTCGCGCTCTTTTCCATCAGTACTTCTGGAATGCCTTCTGAAGAGCAAGTGACCAGCCCCAGAGGGACAACAAGAACTCACCAAACCAGAGAGCCCCCACTCCTAGGACAGAGGGCTTCCCTCCGAGCGGCCGACCGGGAACAGCACAACCCGCCTGGCCCAGCCAAGCCAACAGCGGGAACCTCCAGGCTCGTACTTTCTGCCCAGTGCCCGAGTTCATTCCAGGTTAAGGACAATCCAGATGTGCCCCATTTAGGACACATGACAGTTGCCAAGCAGCACCCTGTGTGACGGGACATCACCCCCCCCCGTTCCCCGCTCCCCCGGGGACATCACCCCCCCCGTTCCCCGCTCCCCCGGGGTTCCCAGGCTTTGGTCTTGACCTGCCGCCGCCGCGCTGGGCCGGCTGCTGCCCGTCCCGCAGGCCCTGGCCCGTCCCCGCAGCCGGCGGCGGCGCCGAGCCGAGCCGCGAGCGGAGCCGCGTACAGCATCTCCCTGGGCCGCTACCTCCGCCCGCTGCCTCCGCCGCTCCGCGAGGTGCTTTCGCACGCGGGGCGAGGGAGACTAAGGAGCAGGCGAATAGCGAGGAGGGGAGCGAGAAGAGAGGACAGGTCATTTAGCAGCCGCCGCCGCGTTGCGAGGCAGGCGCCGTCACCAGCCCGGGCGCGCTCCGCGGCTCCTCCCGGAGCCCGGCGGGACTCGGGCAGCGGCGGCGGCGGGGGCCGCGCTTAGGCAGTACCGTGCCATCGCTGCCCCTGCGGGCTGCGACTGTGCCGGGACCGGGCGGGGCACCGCCGCGTCCCCGGCTGCCGGTGCCGGCGAGCGGGATCGGGGCTCGGGACCGGGACCGGAAAGGGCGGGAGCGGCAGGGTGACACAGGTCCGGGAAGTTGAGGTCGTGGCACAACTCCTCCCGCCGCGCGCGGTCCGATTGGGGCGGCTCCCGCTCCCCTCGCACCCCGCTCACACAGTCCTCAGACCCCTCGCACCCATTTCAGTCCTCACACAGTCCTCAGACCCCTCGCACCCATTTCAGTCCTCACACAGTCCTCAGACCCCTCGCACCCATTTCAGTCCTCACACAGTCCTCAGACCCCTCGCACCCATTTCAGTCCTCACTCCCTTCACAGCCGTCACAGTCCTTAGACCTCTCGCACTCCTCACGGGCCCCACAGTCCTCAGACCCCTCACAGTCCTCAGATGCCTCACACCCTCCCCTCAGACCCCTCACAGTCCTCACTCCCCTCAAACCCTCCCGTCAGACTCCTCACTCCCCTCACTGTCCTCACACCCTCCCCTCAGACCCCTCAGTCCTCACTCCCCTCACACCCTCCCCTCAGACCCCTCACAGTCCTCACTCCCCTCACAGCCTCCCCTCAGACCCCTCACAGTCCTCACTCCCCTCACAGCCTCCCCTCAGACCCCTCACAGTCCTCACTCCCCTCACAGCCTCCCCTCAGACCCCTCACAGTCCTCACTCCCCTCACAGCCTCCCCTCAGACCCCTCACAGTCCTCACTCCCCTCACAGCCTCCCCTCAGACCCCTCACTGTCCTCACTCCCCTCACAGCCTCCCCTCAGACCCCTCACTCCCCTCACTGTCCTCACACCCTCCCCTCAGACCCCTCACTGTCCTCACACCTCTTACGCTCCTCACTCCCCTCACACCCCTCACAGTCCTCACTCCCCTCAGACCCCTTGTTGCCTAAAATGGAAGAAAAGAACCCTCAGACCCCTACTCACCTCACATTCCACCGGCCTTGGGTCCCTCTGCGCCGCCGCAGCTTCACTGAGATCCGGGGCGGAGGTAGGCGAGCCTAAGGCATCAAGACTTTCAATCAAGTGTGTGCCCGCCTGCCTGAGGGCAGGCGAGGGGGGACCCATCGCTGCACAAAAACACTGCTGGCTTTCCAAAATCATGGAAGCGCGTGTTCGCCTTCACATTTGCACTTTGTTCAGGGAAAAAACCCCAAAAAACAAACTTATAAGAAAACCCACTTGATCACTGACCTGAGTAGCCAATGGCACAGTGCTGGGAAGGTGAAACATGAGTCGCTTCAGATGTTTCCAATGGGAAGTTGATTGAGGCCCAGAAGGGAAAGGAGAGCACTGTCCTGAGGGCTCAGCGCCGCTACTGCAGTGAGCACCACACTAAATTCCACAAATGTCTCATAAATTTAAGCACATGGCCCTGGACACCAGAGCACTCGGTGGAGGAACAACAGTAACAGCAGAGGCTCAAAACCCCCAAAAGCATGGCTTATACCAACCAGCAAAAGGCAACAGAAACATCCCAGAAAACAAAGCTAATGAAAGCCCTCACATTTATTTTAACCTTTTTAAGACTATTTCAAGCTGGTTCTGGTCACAGCCCAACTTCTCAATCACTAGTGCTCCTCCAAGGTCTGCTCCAAGCCGGGACAACACCCAATGCCACAAGAATAATTTGATTTAGTTGGTAAATTCCCAATTTTAACACCTATGTATTTCCTCCCAGTCTGTGTGTAGCAGAGATCAGCTGATAACAAGCATCAGGGACTATTTCCATTAAAGCTATTATCTGAGAAGACAAGTTTTTCATTCAGTTTGGTTCCTTCCTTCCTTCCAACCTGTTTCCCCTCATGTGTGGGCAAGGAAGCTGTGGAAACTGAGGACATTTTGTATGAGTTTCCATACTGAACTTTCCGATTGGGTTTAGGAGGTCTATTTGCAAGCATGCTCGTATTGCTGGTCCCTGAGGTGACATGGCACAAGCACTGCAGTAAAATTCCCCAAAGTAATATCTTGGCATGGATGCAGGCTTTTGCCTCAGGAATATACACATTTTATGGATTCACCACTGTTGCCAGTGAGAGGCCTGCCAGGCTGGCTGAGCTTTATGCTAGCTGCTGAGCTCATCTCGTCCTGACTCACGCACAAGCACATCCAAGGCAGTAAAAACACAAAATATTTAGTGGAATTTAAAATGAGTTGTGGGCTGTTTCCTGTTTATGAGCTGTGGGCTTCTCATCCCACACCAAATGTGTAGCAACCTCCATCTACAGCACGGTCAGCAGGGAGGGCTGTGTTACCCCAGACATGGAAGAGAGCTCTCTTAATCCCTGTATTGGAAGTGTTTCTTCTGAAGAATTTGGATACTTTTCGTCCATAAAAACTGCTGATGTTGCAGAAAGCATCTGTAGTGAAGGAGTAGAATCTATTCTGCACTTAAAATATTTATACAGGAGACTGTACTGATTCATTTTTTAGTGAAAGAGCTTTTAAAGTGTAGATTACTGACTGAATTGTGTAAATTTGTATCACATTTCGAATCTTAATAACATACTAAATATCATAAACATCCATTAGCTATTTAAATGTGCAAGCTTTTAGAAATCACAAAGTAGATTACTTACTAGGCTTTTAGCTGGAATAAGATTTAATTAGTGTTATATTCTATTAATATGCAATAACCTTATTGCTATTGCCTAACAACTTGACAGTTGTGAAACAAGCAGCCAGATTTGTGCAGTAGTTGATTTTCCATCTTTCCAGTAGCCAGTCAGCTTTGCCAGAGGTCTGCACAGCCACATGCAGCATTTCTGTCACAAAATGTTTTCCTTTGCAGAACAAAAATTCCTTTTCCTTTATTTAAAGGCCAGACATGGAGCCTCTCAAAACAATTCTGTGGGAGCAGATGAGCAGATCCAGTCAGCACAGACTCATTCAGAAGCCTGGGAGAGAGACTACACCAGGAAAAACTGCCAGCACCTTCATCACCTCCTCCAGCTACAGGTAACACACGGGAAGTGGGCTGACCCTGCACTCAGATGGTTGCTGTGGTTTCTCTTGCTGATTTGATGACAAAGGGTTTAGCAGACAATGGGGCCTTGCTTATGCTGGGTCATGACGAACGATTTTCCCAAGAAGGTGGATACAGCCACAGAGCCTTCCCATTCGGGTATTTGTTTGAACAGGCACTGCAGGCACCCAGTATCGTAGCCAGCCCTTTATCAGCTGAAACAGCAGATATACAGTTCTGTTTGTCCTTGAGTGATTATTGAAGTTTTACAGAGCTAACATGTGCTAAGTGAAAATTAATTTAATACCACTGAATTACTCTTCTTAAATGAGTAGAAGAGGCTGGACCATCACGAGGCAAGAAGTTTTATGAACAGAGGTCACTAGCAGAAGTCTAGAAAACTATCCAAGCATAATTTATGCCTTTTATGTATAATTTTGTGCACACTGAATCCTGCCCATTTGTGCCTTGTCAAAATATGTCAAAGCCAAAAGTCCCATGTGATAATGAACAGGAGATGGTTACTTCTGATTCATTTAATATACACAGTATGCAAATTATTGTTTAAAGAGCAATTCTCTCTAACCAGACCAAGCCCCTTAAAAAAAACCAACAGCCAAGAAAACTGTTGGAGCAGAGGAGATCTGTGAGATGTATCCACCCTGAGCTTTCCTTAGGAAGCTCTGCCCCAGTAGAGCAGTTTGGATACAGAAATGTCTGTGCTGCTTTGCTTGGCTGTTGGTTTTAGGGCAGGCTGGATTTGCAGGTTGGCTTTTTTTCAGATGCACGTCTCTCTCCTGGATTAGAACAAAGCTCTAAGACTAAAGGTGATAAATGAAAACATTTAGATAAATCATAGGAGGCTCATCTACCTCATTTGAATATGACAGGTTTTGGATGGAACCAGGATTCGAGTTACAGGTTTACACAAGTCTAGTGTTCCACAAAACTATTTAGACATTCTTCCTGTTTTGTTTTGTTTTTAAACCTGAGATTGTATTTCCCAACAAAAGAAGCAATTGAAGTTGTTACTTATAAATTTTCGTTAGAGATGTTTACCATGCCATCAACGTAAGGTATAGACTCAGTCACTCAGATAACTTCTATCTGTATTCAAAAGTTACTTTGTTCAGTACTTCTTCCTTATTAAAATAATTCATTATTTGTCAGAGTGTCAAGATCAAACATTCCAGGTCTCCATACGTCTCTTCCTGTGTCCAAAAGCCTTCAGAACAGTTGCATGTAAGATCACAGTGCTTTGAACTTATTAACGCTTCCTAAGCCAGAATGTTTGGCAATCCTCTCATTGCTCTTCTGGAGGAACCAGAGGGGAAATGAGTGACTTGAAAACAGTTTATGGGGCATAAGCAATTTCTCTTAAAACTCAGCTGTGGCTTTTCTTCCCCAAATTTGCCTAACCTTCTCATCTGAGTTATTTCTTCCTTCAGTGTAAGATTCCTTTTCTATATGTTTCTTTTTGTGCTGGACACTACATTACCATATTCTGCAGGATTTAGCAGATTTATTTGTGGGGTTTGGTTTTTATCTCTGAGAACTGCTAAAAATCAGCTAGACTTAATATAATAAAATTACACATTTTTAGAAAACAAGTCACTGCTTGGTATCTTGAACTGGATAGAAGTTTTATTCTGTTACTGGGGTTGATTGCTCCTTCCTTCAATGCACATGGTACATGCCACAGTGTGACTGAAGGGATAACAGTTTGCTCCTATTTTGAAGTTTTTTCCTATTATCCTTGGAAATAGATGCACTCTTAATTTAATTGCTTAATGCATTTTAATTTATTGATCCCTGTATTTCCAGTCCTTTGAACTGAATACTGTTTGAATGTTTCCTATTTCAAAGAAAGAGTTTCTTTCCTTATCCAGGCTTCTCACTGGCTCCTACTTTTGTTTTGTTGGCTCTGTGAAGTCTTCATTGCCCCTTTTCCCCAGTCTCAGTTTCCCATTCGGTGTTTTATCTGTCTCACTGAGATTCTCTTGGGCAACATCCTTAAAATCTGTCCCTGTTGTCCCCACCATAGCTATGATTTGTATCTTACAAGCTGACTATTGCAACATCTCTTTTGGCCTTCATTCTACCCCCTCTCCAGCCAAAGCCATCTTTCACTGACCCCTCTCAAGTCTCTTTACTATTTACGTCAACTCTGTACCCCCTTTGATGTCTGTTTCCAATTCCCAGCCTTTCTTTCCTGTAACACCTGTGCGCTCTCTACTCTCCTCTAAGAATCCTGCAGAAAACCTGCCCTTCCCCTGCAGAGCTTGTACATGAGCATGACCCAGCAGAACACAGAGGGAAGGTAGAATGTTTGGTGCATCGTGTTTCTTAATGCAATTATTAGTAACTTCTTGGTTTTCTCTTAAAAGTGTCTTCCTCTATTTCCCTGCAGTGTGTGTGTTCCCTCACATGGCTTGATCAGCTTGAGCTGTCACTGGCAAATACTCCCAGCATGCTCCCAGCAGTGCTTATCTACTCTTGTCTGGCTTTAGTTGTAGCCTTAATGGAAGCTTCAGAAGTCCCTGTTTATGCAGATTTCAAGAAGGAATTGCTGTGAAAATGTCAGCCTGCTGCGATCTCATCTCTTTGTAAATAATTCAGTCCAAGTGCAGAAATTAAAACTGACGATGCAACTTCTGTTTGCCTCCGTACTCTGCACACCTCAGGCCAAGTTCTTCGTGCTCCAAGCACATCTGTTTAGGAGGGAGATGCAGTGATGTTACAGGCTGTGCTGCTGCCAGAGCACCCAAAGAGAGGCAGTGCGAATCAAGTGCTTGTGTGCTCATTTTGGTGCAAAGTCCAGTGGCTCCTGAGGACAAGTTCAGAGCTAAGCTGCTGTGCTTTGGTTTGGAGCAAGGCAGTTAAAGGAAAGGACAGGTTGCTGCTGTGTCCAGAGTGGTAGCACGTGGCACTGGTGCCGTGTGTCCACTCAGTGCATTTCCCAGAGCTCACCCAGTCAGTTTGGCAGTCCTCCAGGATCCTTCATACGAGCAGTTTCTTTGCCTTGTACTCACTTGCACTACTTACCGCTTGTACTACTTCCCCCCAGAGGAAGGGCAAGTATTGTCAAGTAAAAATGTTGAGTTTAGGCTCTTAGGGTGTGTAAATGTGAGACTTAGTCAAAGCAATTAGCTGAGTAACTTCAGCTTCAATTATTTTCCTACCCTGTTTCCAGGCCATGACTAACACTTGCAGTGATACACACCCAGCCTTTTCCAGCGTTTGCAACCAGTACACTGAGCGTTGGCCACAACGGCCTGGGATGAAGAACAACCACAGAGTCCATTTCTGAGCTCTTTGCTTAATCATTGCACATCTACAAGTCAAATTTTAAAACAAAAGCAACACACGTATAAATGCTTTGTAGGTACCAGTTTTTCCTTTAAACTTCGACTGTCCATGTTCTGATTCAAGTATTTCTCACTGTTCTTTACACTTACCAGCTTTGCTGTGGGAATAGGAGCTGCCCATAATTAAGTCCTAGATTTTTTTAAAACAAGTATTTCTAAAATTGTTTTAAGTGTTTGATAAAAGAATTTCTAAACAAGATATTCAATAACAGAAGAGTGAGGTCAGATGAGACTTGAAAACATATGCAGATTGACTGTGCTATAAAACAGATTAACAAGATCACCAGTGGCTAGAAATTGAGGCTCGCCTCAGGCTGGCAGCAGAAAGGCCACAGTTTTCTGATCCTGTGGCCTCAGAAACATCCCAACACCCAGTTCCACCTTTTTTGTCCTCATGCCACATTGCATCACTCCTCAATCTTCCCAATTCCAGCTCCTGGCAGGGCCATGCTGTGAACCAGATCAGGGGACCTGTTCCACTGAAAAATAAGAGAAAAAAGCATCAGAAAATAAAAATCATTTCACAATCTACTTCATGGCACACGCCCCACACCCTGGAGGTGGCACACTGTGATGGTGGAGCTGAATTCCTTCCATCTGCACCACCTCCCAAATCAGCCTGGCATCAAACCCCAGTCCAGCCCGACCAAGGACACAGAGAAGGTGACTGTAGTAGCAGGGGATCTGAGGGATAAGGAAAGAGGGCAAAGGGCTTGTTTTGCTTAGAAGATGGCTATAGGGAACCCTGGAAAAACAGGCCATTTTCAACAGGATCATGAGGAGCAAAGCCAGAGGATGTCTGTAGGACTGGAGTGAGGACAAGTCCTGATTGTTTGGACATGAGGAATGTAAGCAGTGGCAGGAGCCTTCTGAGCTTGCAGAGCTGGGGAAGGACGTCACTGCAGCAACACCAAAGCATCAGCTGCTAACACTGTATTTATCCAAACCGTAAGGAACAATTTGAAATAAGAAGAGGTTTCAAAGCTGTGTTTAGCTAAAAGATCTGTGTGGGAGAGGGGTGGATACCTTTGGACTGTGTTAATAATTAAGTGGAGGAGTGTGTTAAAGCCTATGGAATGGACAGCATGGTAGTAAAAATACTGTGACTCACCGAAGCTGGAGGTTAGCAAACAGGCACAAGTAAACACAATTGCACATGACAGATCCTTGTGCACCTAGGTCCATCTCTCCTTTGTGAAACCAAGGCTGAGATGCTCCATTCACTGCTGGAAACCTCTCGACCTCATGGAAATCATTTGATAATGAACCTGCAAGAAATAAAAATTGTCTTGTTCAGAATTAGATGAAAATCCAGCATGTTTCCCAAAGCTTTCTTATAGATTTGCAATATTCAGTGTATTTTCCACTTTTGTTCTCTTAATAATCCCTGAGCTAATGTCTTGCCAGTTAAAAAAAAATACATGAAGAAACCTTCTTTTCTTGGATCATTTCACTCACTCTAAATGCAGTGAGAGCCAGAAGAAAAATCTGGATACATGGTTTGAAAGCAGCAACTGCAAGAACTTTTCTAAGCAGCAGGCCTGTGAAGTCTGCTTTTCTGCATACTCGTGTCATCAGAGGTTTAGTTTTTAACTGAGTTATTTTAAAGGGCTTCCCCCATACCTTAAAAAAGTTATCAGCTTTTGCATATATTAATATAATTCTCTCCCCTTCTCCCTGTTTACCTCCTGTTTATGGCTTGAGGTACATTTGGCTCTAGAAACTGGCAGACAAAATCCATAAGGTCTGAATGTACAGCGGCAAATATTCCAAAGCTGGTCTCCTGCCAGCTGACCACCTCTGGGGGTGCACATACACTGGTTGTCTGGGTTCCCCATTCCTATAGCCAGGGCTGGAGACCCAAGGATTCCCAAGGCACTGGGAAATGCTGAGGACAGGACAGGCAGATCACTGATGCTGTTCCGAACGAGCAGCATCACACAAGAGCAGTTAATTAGAGCTATATCACAGCGTTTTGCATCCATTTAGAGTTTTGTTACCAATTGCAGTTGCTTTGATTACCTAACTCATCTGCGTGTCACTTTCCAAATATTTGTTAGAGAACACAAAATATTTGCTGTTTATCCTGGGGTTCAGCATTACAAATGTTTGTTTAATGTCCAAACTGGGATTTTCAAATGTATCTGATATCTCAGTATACCTCCAGTTTATTTCTATTTAATCTGGAAAGAAAAAAGGTCTTGTCAGTATATACCTACCCTGCCTGTCTCATCCTGAAATGTTTACATTCTGGGAGTTTGCCTGTTGGAGCTGTGTAAAAGGTAAAGTGCCCTGTCACTCTCCCACGTGTTGTCAGGTTTGTCATCGCACACAGACATGCACAAAAAGCCTCTGATGCCCCATACCCAGAGACAGGTACCTCTGCCACTGAAAACAGGGCTGAAGGCACAGCACTGTTATGTTATTACAGGGCAAATGAGGGCAGATTAACTGGGGGTGTGAGCGTGCTGACATCACCTAATTACTCGGAGGTAGAATCACAAGTGCTGTCTCTCCGCTTTGGATTGTACAGTTAGATTAGCTATTACCTATGACTGTGCTCTAAGTAAAAACAAACCCAAGCCTTTTTTTTTTTTTTGACCCAGTAAAGCTTCAGTTACAACACAAAGTGAAAAAAGTCTCTTTTTTTCTTATTAAGGGCAATGCCACAGGCTAATGTTAGGAAACTGAGCCAGGAAGAAATCCTCAAAGTGAGGTGTCACAGGCTACAGATCTGCACTTTAAGGTGTTCTGGCAGCAGCTCAGCACTGCTGAAAATGGAAAATCCCACTCCCTCCTCCTACCCTTCCTTCAGGCACAGGCTCCACCATTTACCTTCTTTGGGCTTTGGTGTATTTGGTTTTTTCAAGCCCCCGAGAAGACTGGCCAGTTGTCTGTAGGTGAGTGAGTTGTGTTGCCTCACCTGGGAGCCACGGAAGACCAGAGGTGGCACAAGGGCAAGAGAGGACACCGGGAGAGGGCAGGAGGAACCCAGACCTTCCCCTGGCAGTTGCAATGTGTTACCTCATTTCACCTGTTTGTTAAACCACAGTTTGGAAGAAGGTGGTAAAGGCCACTCACTTTGGATATTTAAAAACAGATCAGAGTGGTTGAAATCCCTTCTGGGTCCTTTGGTTTCCCACTGCACCAATATTGGTTTTATTCCTCTTTTCTTCCCCCATCTTCAAACCCCTGACTGGGCCAATGTCTCTCTTGACAAGCACCCTCTATCCTTTCCTGCTCTCTTTGTATCATTCCTTCAAGCTCTATTTCTTTTGCAAATTTTTTTTTCTAATTAGTCAACTCTTCATTGACTGCTATAAATGTAATTATACTTGAATTCTTGCTCCTGTTTACCTCACTATTCAGTTCTTTGGGGCTAGATTTTAGCACTTCACTCAATTTTATACAGTGCTGTTTGCCAATGCATAGCTAAACATCCTAAGACAGCTTTGCAACTTACATTTGCTCTTACACAAAAAATTTGAGTCAGTCATTATCCCACTATCAATCCCATGAACTATATACAGAAAAATATGATTTATTACATAAATAAAGGTGAACTATACATTAAAAAAACAGACTGGAATACTGGAATCAAACTGTACTTAGTCCAGGCCTAATGAATCTCTGATTAAAAATAAAATACAATGCTGATTTTTTCCCCCTAAATTCTGTAAAATCCTAGAAGAGCCCAGTTGGAACAATCAACAGGTTTTCACCGTTTTTTCTGTTTCTAGCTTTTACATTTTTTCACTCCAGAAATAAGAACTTTACAGCTGGCACGTATATTACACTAATGATGCTTTGATTTAGAAATACAACTGACAGATGTTGAATTAATCTAGTCAGATTTTAGTTACCTTTGAGGCCTAGCTACAGTGTTTTCTTCTGGAAGGTATGCATATTCTTTTTGTCCCCACAGTTGGTGAAAGTCAGGCTGCCTTTCGACAGTGATGTTTTACTCAGGTATCCGCTCCCATCCCTGAATTGGAAAGATGGGTATTGTTCTATCGGAGAATGTACTTTGAAATCAGTCTTAGATTTGGTTGCTAATCTGGTGGCCCGGCTTTTCTCTTCTGTAAACAGCGATAAATAGTTTCCAGTGGGCCCAAAACCAGCAAGGCTCTTCACTAAATAGCCTCCAGGCAGAATTACTCTGTGTTGAAGGGACGACCCCTACATTAAAAGAGAAGTTTGATAACAGAAACATATGAAAACACTGAATGCTTCCTGCAACATACCCTGTGTGCAGCCCTCTGAACTGGGACAGCTGAACTGGACACTGCTCCAGCAGGAACAGCAGGTTGTACCCAGGGCAGCCTGTACCTAGCACGAGCTTTCTGATAAGCTCCTGGATACCAAAAAGATTATTGAGCAAATATGTTTGATACAGTAGGCTACTATTTTATATTGTTTTTTCCATTCCTGATCACAAGTCATCATAGCACTAGTAAAAATTAGGTTATTCAATTCTTTGTTGCTTCAAGAGAACGAAAACATAGTTTTAAAAGATATTCATGTACCTTAGGAAAAACCTCCGCCTTTATTGGCTGGATTAATCACTTGGAGCAATGTGCTAAATACACTGAGCCGTTCTTTTTGTGGAACACGAGGATCAAGCCTTGGTTCTTGGCAGCCACATCGTTCATGCCGAGCATACTGGAAGCCACCGCTGTTATTTTTTATTCCTCACGGGACAGCAGAGTGCTCCACAGCAAATAAAGGGACAGCTCCTCCCAGAGGGGCTTATGCTGGAGCAGCAGAGAACTCCCAGGAACTGGGGGACACAAGGGTCACAGTAAAGGTCACCATGAAAGCTTGATGTGGCACCTATGTTTTGAACTCTGTGTGGGGCCTGGCACGCTGCAGCCGTTTTTATGGGTGGTGTTCAGACTGAGGCTCAGGAAAGGAAAATAGTGGACTGCTGAGACATACCAGATGCAGAGACATTGTGGAGGAAAGAAACGGAGACCTTCAAGTTGTACTCTTTGGACACTGAGGAACTCCGAGGGGAGCCTGCAGGCGGGATGGCTATCGACATTTCCACCCTTTTGTGTCCATCAGTACCCTGCAACCTGTCCATCCAATACCCAGGAGCAGGTTCTACCTACTTTTGGGAGGGATTCTGGGACACAAAAGTGTTGGGGTTATTTCTGCCTCGCCAGATTCACTGCTGTAGAAGAGCCTAAGCCGGAAAGCTATTTTATAAAACTATAAAAACCAGCAAAATTGCATTCTTGCTGTCCTCTCATATCACTGCCAAAAAGTATCCGTGGCAGCAAAACTGCAGCTGATGGGAGGTCAGTTCTCCTGCAAACCACATAAACCAGTCATATGTTATCCCTTTGTCCCGAGTAACACATATGGATGCCTGTATTTCTTGTATATATTCACCTCTGACTGATGAGCCTCCCCCAGCAACTGGGCGAGAACTTACAGAGAGAGGAAGGCAGAAGCAGGGAACACATTGCTGCATATTAACCCTTCCAGCATTACATGCATTAACAAAGCATTGTTTTCAGAAAAAGAAGAAAGACTAACCACCTGCAGTGGCTTAGCTTTACAAAGTGCAGCCACCTGGTGTGAACAGAGCTACTCTTCCTACTTGTCAGCACGCACGGACGCCGTGCCCCGCTCACCCCCAGGACTGTACAGTCAGCAGCAGGGTTTTTTAAGGATTCAGCCCTGCAGAAAACAGCTGTAACAAGTGCAGTTCTTTGGTACTCTTCCCTGTGCTGTTACTACTTTCCTTATCCAAGGCACCTTTTTGCCAAGTTCATAGCAGAGGAGGGAAAGGGACTGTCTCTTCCTGCCCTCCTCCCTGGATACAGAGAAGGTCACGGAGCGGTTTAGGTTGGAAGGGACCTTAAAGAGCATCTAGTTCAACCCTGCTGCTGTTAAGAAACAAAGGAAAGGTTGTCCATGAGGATAAGCCATTGTTGCTATAAGAGTCCAGGATATACCAAGATGCTTCTAAACCTAGAAAAATGTACTATTTAAAAACCCCAAACAACCAACCCAATTACAGGGTGTATTGCAGAGATTTCAGGCCTGATGACAAATTAGTGGGAGTTTCATATAACAGGTGATATTTTAGACAGACATCTTAACACTCAATGTATTTACAAGACTTTTTTGTGAGCACCATCTGCGTGAAATGAAGATGAGTGCCTACCTACTGAAATTATATTCACACTTACTGGATAGAACCATTTTCTCTTGTTTAAAATATTTCTCCTTGCATTTGTCTTATGGCATTACAAGAACACAAATAAGTTGTTTCCCATAAACTGATTTTTTTTTCTTTAGTCCTAATACAATTTTGTCTCTACAAATAAAAAATGCCCCCCCCCCCCGGAAATTATTTAAACCTAAAAATGAAATATTTTCTGTTTAAATTACTCTCTGGTTGGAAAGAAATGCTGCAGTCCCTCTTCTGAGCAGACAGAGCTTTAAGGCACAGCAGATCTGAGCAACGTAGTCATCAAAGCCACTAAAGCAAGCCCTAAATCCAGTTTTAGCAAACCATACAGTACTATTCTGAAGTACTCTGGGAATAGTTTCATATTACCAGCAGCTGGTTTAAAATAGTAACTGGACCATTGTGCCATCCTCTAAAATAATGATTCTATCATAACAAAAATATTTGCGTGAAGTAAACGGACATTGGGTAACTGTGGACTTTTGTCCCAACGATTGCACTGTGTGAGGCCATGTTAAAAACAAGGTGGAGAGAATACAAAACGGGGATAAAACTACTTGCACCCTTTTTCCATACTGCTGCTTAGCAGAGTATCCATTTATCCTTTGACCAAACATAAAAAGACTTATTTCTATTACCAAAAAGAGCCCCCAAACCCACCCTCCCAAACCCAAATAAACATACTTCTCCCTTATTCCTAATGCATATGACTGGTACACTAAGCTTTGAGAAGGAGCTCAGTGTGTGCTGGGAACTTGAGCTGCTCACCTCCTCTCCCCTAGTTCCCTTAAATCTGTGTCCTTTGTTTCCAGCCCTATACTGAGCACTTCTTCAGCATCCCTCATTTGGGGCAAAGTAGCTGATTTGTCCCTATGCTCATGCTGCCTGCCCAGCTGGCACTCACTTCTGCAGTGGGAAGAGACCACGTCAGCAGGCAAACACTACCTGTGTTTCTCTTGACTTGCCAATTTTAATGTAATTTGTGAGGACTTGATTTCCTTGACGCTTATATCCCCCTGGCAATTTTGGTTTAAGTCAGACTGTGGAGCTGCTGGGTGCACATCATCCCACTGTTCACCTAACAGGACCCAGCCTAAATGCAAGGGACAGGAGTCCCCACCACCACGTGAGAAGCACAATCACCTGCTTTGGGCTGGTACAAGTTACAGCAAAAAAACACCCTATACAATTCAAAATCTGCACTTACTGCACCTAACAATTATTTTCATCACCATTACTGACAGCTTCTCTATTGGCTTTGGTGCAGCAATAACTCAGATCAATGAATGTCTCTGTGTGTTGAGAAATTCCATCTTTATACAGAGCACACTAAAACCTACAAATTTCTCACACGAAATCCTAACTAAGTGTTCTGATTTGTAAAGAGCACATAAGCGTGGTACAAATCTGCAGTTCAGCTTTGCTCTGATTTCTGATTTGTACTTCTACCTGCATACAAACGCACAGGTCCAGGCGGTGTGCAGGGAGGTCGTTTCCTCAGCTGCAGCTCAAGGGGTTATTTATTGCCAGCAGTGAGGACAACGATAAACACCTGACCTCTAGTGGCAGCTGGGGGGGAGCAGGTGAGAGACTGGAAATGCGGCAAAAAGAATTGATGGAGTCGGATGGAATTGTGGAGCCTGAACATGCATTAGTTGCTTTGTTAGCTTTTGTTTAATTATCTTTTCTACTGAAATCCCAGTTCAGAATCCAGAATATTTTTGTTTCTCAAACTTTTCTTCAGATATATTACTAATTTTAAGAAGTGTGTGTGCCATCTTCCAAAAGAAATGCAGCAATATCCTAACAGGTTTTATATCTTCATATAGACAGTTTTTGGTAAGTTTGTTGCTTTGGTTGTTTTCCCTTCATGCACACAATTATTCAACAAGCCTGTCTGGGTCCTCATTAGGCTTCATTCCTGCTCCTCACTGACACATAACATCTCTCCAGTGAAAATACACGTTCACTATTGGCACTCGGGACATCAAAGCTTTCATTCCTACTGGGCTAAAAACACAGCAGCTATTCCATAAACAAAGGTCATAACCTTTCTAATCAAGTGGTTAACCCAAATACTAAATCCCCTCCATGAGAAACAAGAGTTTTGTTTTTAGCCCCTGTAGGATTAAATTTCAAAGTGCTGGTGTACACAAACTTTCTCCTAAGTAAAAAACCATAATCCGCAAGCTACGGTTAAACCCACCTTTGGTCACAGCTTTGTGAGGCCTTCAGGCCACCAACAGTCTTTGTAACAGGACAGTGGCAGAGCTGCAGGAGGACTGGAGCAGTGGCAGTCTCAAGGGGTCATTATTTTATGAGCTGGAGTTAGAGTAACTTCTGCTTATTTCCTGAGCCCAGAACGAAAATGAAGTTACACACGACTCAAATCATTCTGTGCGTTAAAAACAAGTCAATACGGATACATGAGAGACGATTTCGGGGGGGGGAACCAACTGTGGTAGCAAATATCTTACCCATTTAAATGATCAGATTAACTGGGACATAATAGGGGTAAATTTGTGTTTTCCTTACAGCTGCAAGCACTGAGTTGAGAAAGGCATGGACCCAGTACTATACTGTTTAATTTTAATGCTTGTCATAAAAGAACCCCTTAAATTACCATAGTCATGTCTAATTATTTTTTTTATGTTTGAGCCATTCATATGTCTTCTATGTAATATAAAAAAACCCTACAATATTTTCATCAAGTAGCCTCTGAGCAACTGATTTTTCTTCTGCCTGTTGAAACTAGTTCAAAATCCCCATATCTTCGAGGTGCTTTGGCACACAACTAAGATACCAATGGCTTGTCCTACACAAGATGTCAAAGTGAATTAACAAAAAACATGTGAATTTAAAGTGAATATAACTCAAACATATGTAATTTCTCTATGGACACTCATTTAGGAGTCAGCTGGCCATAATTACCTTAACTGAATTCATGCTCAAAGTGAATTAAACTGAAGTGAAC